TGGCGGTAAACTCACTACAAACCAGTGGCGCCACGTGGTCATTTTGACAACCGGGGCAAGCTACTGCGGGACCAAGTCACCCCCATCTACGGGGACAGGATGAGCGCTGTAAGTTCTCCCATCATTTTATGAGTATAAAAACCATTCCATCTGTAACAACCAATCGGCAAAAGCGACAATTTTTAACGATAAGAAAGTGTCTTTAAAACCGGTCCAAGTCAAGGGATTAATAAATATAGACATAGTTTATTTTGAAACCTCTTTCAAAAGGAAAGGCAATATTTACCCAGATAAATACAATGACATATTAACAGAAACTTCGGGAAAGCAGACAAAACCTAAAATAAGGTTTAAAACGTTACTATGAAGAAAGGAAAGGTAATGCAAAGATAAGGACATGTGTCGCTCGCTCATAGATATATATGCTGCTAGACTTCTACTGCTTGAACATATATGCAACACGCCGCGGTTTCTTGGAAGCAAAATGCTCAATAACGCGCTGATTAAAGTCATGCATCCCAGAAATAACGTCTCTGTGAATGGATAAAACAGCCAAGGAATTTAATCTATCTTGCTTCATTGTGTTTCTGAGATACGTTTTAATACGCTTCAGCGTGCTGAATGTTCGCTCTGCGTCGGCGGAAGAAATAGGCGTCGTCAAAATGATGTCCAGAAATTTTGCAGACGCCGCAAAGGTAGTTACTAGAGTGTTATCTATGAGGAACCCATAGAGCGCGCAAGTTGATGTGATGTTCAAAAAAGTTTGATTGGTGTATATACATCGCAATTCATTTTCCAATTTACCCACGTTTATCATGGAGTAAAATTTGGAGACAGTAGCCAACAAATGGATGGGAAATTGACGTGCAAATTTTGAAAAATTTTTGGGGTTCATCAAAGAGAACGCGGCAAGGTGTTCAGTGCGCAGACGATCGCCTATTTGATTCACCAGAATGTCACAGCATTCCTTTGCAGACAAAATCAAACGCTGCGTTGTTTGCCCGCGGCGTAAAGAAGCACTCCATGTGTCGTCGTATTTTATTGTTTCCCGGATACGAGATACAGCATCGCAGAAGTCTGAAATACACGACTGCACAGACGCTCCATCCATTAGCCTTGACTGCAATGCGCCGTATAATACATCCACGTGATATAACACAACCATTCGTGTTTTTTATACCAAGTTTCTGCGCAGAATGTACGCCGACGCTTTCCTCCGTCATGGGATTGTTCCAGTGAACAATTCTTTGGTTGATAAGGCCCAAGACGTTGTAGCTCTAATTTTTGTTCCAGCGGCAGCTGCGAAAACGGAGTGCGAAGTAGTGCATCAACCTTATTCATTATGAGGTCTAAGGCTAAGAAATGCGAAGCCGGAAAGAAGTGAGGAGCTCAAAAGGAATGTGGAAAATCGAAAGCAAATGGACTAAAGGTTCTAACTGATTCAAATAGCGGAACAAACGACAAAAACGAAGGCGAGGAAACTATCAACTCTTCAAGCAACCAACGAACGAGAAGGAATGCGTGAATATGTCAACACGTTGTTGTAAGAAACGTCGGCATTGTGTCGTCATAATTTCGGGGCTAGCCCCCGATCGGCCCCGATGATTTAGTGCACAACATACGGCCCGCGGGCCGCATGCGGCCCGCTAGATACTTCTGTGTGGCCCGCGGGTGATTTGGAAACACGCCACTTCTCGGGTCTAACCATCAAAGCCGGCATTGTTATGCAAGCGCGACGCTATATCATATTCGAAATCGTGAGATTTATGTTTTGCACTAGTTTCAATAAATATCGAACTTTGTGTGAAATTGGTGTGCCCTTCTTCCGACCCCTAAAATTCGTCTCTCGCCCCCCAGTTTGGGAAACCCTGATTCAGATATCTCAGTATTCAGACTGAATCACGCTTAAAACAATATCGGTATACAATCTCACACCCATCCGTGCATATTAGCAACCTCTTAATAACCCCATTATTTTTTTACTAGCAGTTTATGAAACTGAAGTTTCTTTTTTGTGGCAAAGTTTGCGGCCCGCCGGGCCTTCAAATTTATGCTTGCGACTCTCGTGGTAGTTTGAGTTGTGCAGGCCTGTAGTAAAAGAAACAGAAAACAAACGAGACAAGCGCGGCGAGTGGAAGATAAAAGAGAGAATACGATATACAATGAGCAACCGGGGCAAAATCGGCGTCGCCCCGTCGACGTTCGGCGAAGGCTTTGCGAGCGAAAAATGAACCATGTCGGGAGAATATGGCTAGTGTAGACAGTCTGTGCAACCGATATTGAGGTATTTTTCGAATATTTTTTATTATACCGAAAAAACCACCGGGGCATCGCCCCGGTTGGCCCTATTGACGCGTCGCCACTACTACAAACTAAATGACTCGCAAACTATCATTAAACACGATGCAATTTCCCTAATCCAGAAGTACCATTTGTAAAATGTATAGCGTGTAAGTAATTTGATGGCGAGATACGATTTCTTTTGCTTACAGTAAATTCTTCATAACGGTTTTGTATTATAACACGGCCAGTCACCTATCACTAGTACGAAGTATTGATAAATTGCTGATCCTAACCTTTACGAACCTGCCGCATCCCTACGTTATTTTGCATGCTTCTGTCAAACTCGGGCGACTTGAACGCATACATGAGATTTTGTACATGGCTATAAAAATGCAATCGTTTTCAATTGACAGTATGAATTCGTCGCGTCACTGTTTAGCATAAGCTGAGTTTTCAGGAATATATTTGAAAAACGCACTTCCCGTATTTCCATGCAAATAAATGTGAAAGACGGCAGATCAGCGACCGGACGGCTCGGTGGCGTGGCGGATCGTGCTAAGCGTTGTGAATGCACTCACCACCAGGTATGGCGGAATCGAGTCCAGATTCCGATATATTGAAATCGATTCTAGAGGTTAACACTTGGATTGCAAACAATGTGTAACGTTTAGTGACAATTTCTTCACATATATGTATAAACTGCTTTACTGCTATGTTGAGTTGATACGACGCCACAAACTTCACTATATATTTTACCTCAGGCTTTTACGTTTATTTATTTTTTTTAAAATTTCTGCGGGTTCAGACTTCAGAGGGATTTTGTGTCCTGTGACAGATTGGATAGCCATACTATTTAGTTTTGGCTTCCTTCTCCGTCCATATATTCGAACATCGCTCTCTTGTTTGAATTCATATGGTATTGCTTGGGTAGGTATGTTTTCTCGGTAAGATGTGTCGAGGAATCGAGATTAGGAATCGAATACTTGTAAGTAGTCATACTTAGCATTAGGGCTGGGAAAAATATTCGAATATCCCGTACCACGTGACCTGCGTCACTTTGCTTGGACACGGAACTCGCGCCTCTCAAAATCGATCGTAAATCGCGCGAGAATTCACCTACAGCGCTCGCTAACAGACAAAAACGACAAATTTGAGAAATCGTTGTCTTTGCCTTGAGGTGCGATTCCTTTCTTTTTGCGCCGAACGTATCGTTTCATTTCCCTATTTTGCAAAAATACGTGCCGCGCCGGTACGTAAATTAGTTATCCGCTGTTTCATGCATGACCCGAACATAAAGTGATTATCGAAAATTAAAAGTTGAAATTACGTTTTCGAGAAACTATACAATCATGGTATGACGCTTACAAGCTGTACCAGAAAAGAAATGACAAGTCAAACTCCATTTAATGAGCTCTTTAGTGATCCCTTCCATCTATGACCAAGTAATGTTTCGAAAATGTGAACATTTTACTCGGCCATGCATGGCGGGTTGGGTGATAAAATCGTGAACGAGTGTAGATCGTAAAATCAATCGTGAATTTCGATGTTACAACGCACTCTGCCTCGTTTGCGAATTGTTGCGCCTGTCATCATCAGAAATTATTACGTTCGTTATCTTTCGAACATTTTTGCACTAATAATTAGGACGTGACATCAAAATCGTCAAGTGAAATGGTGAATTTGCAAATATCGTAAGTGAAATTGTGAATCAGTCGGAAACGATTTTAGCTATAATGGTGGCCGGAATATTGTTTTGTTAAAAAAAAAACGTTGAAACTTGAAAAAATTATTTATAACAAGTGTCTGACCCACTTTTCGGCACAAAAGCGCAGAATGTTTTTAGCATTAGGTCGCATATGTAAAATAAAATATCATTCAAGAAGTGCTGTTTATTAACGTCATCTCGTCTTATGGCCACGTAGAAATTGCCTTTATTGTCGAATTATTTAAACATATTTTAAATCAACATTCAGGATTGATGTAATCGCTTTGCGAGGTATATTTTTCTAATACGAAAATAACGCAGACACCATAGAAAAGCATAAGAAAGTTAATTATCGTCATAATAAATATCTGCATCTCGGTATCGATAATATTACCGCTCGCTTAAAATTCGGACGGTAAATTTACAAAAGTTGATAAATAAGTAAGACCAAAACCAACGTAAAAATTTGGGAGTAAAATTAATTCGGGTTTCGAAATCAATCCATAATACCTATACCAAATGTTGCCGACGTGAACGCACGGGTATGCCCGAAATATAATACTTCGACGTCCGCCAACCCGTAGGAATAAATCCTCGCAAAAAAACGGGCGGGAATATAGATTACCAACTTCAGGATATCAATGTCAAAATGATCATGGTGACAAAAACAATCAGCGATTAGGGCGAAATTAGTCAAACTTTTTGTTGCCGATTTTCCAATGTTTTATTTGATTTTCAAGAGTATCGGCCGACAAAAAAAATATTCCTTATTCGTTAAAAATATTCGAATTATTAAACTCAAAAATTTTTCGATTTTGCCCACCCCTACTTAGCATCCTTATTCACCACCGCGCCTCTGATTACCCTGCGTGGGTCCACAGGCCAGGTAATTCCCATTATATTACCAAAGTTTTCACACAAAGTGATAGACCATGAAAATCACTGGTGCTGAAATAGCTTTCTGACATATACAACTACCTAAAGTTTGCTGCTGAACAATCAACAAAGAGGCTCTGGAGGGTCCATACCTTTATACTCTCATACAATATAACCACATGTGGCACAATTAGTAAACAAGCACAGGTATAAATTATTTTTTCTTGGGAGCAGCTTGTGCAGCAGCTTCTTCCTTTTCCTTCTTTCTCTTGGCCCGAATGCCATGCAATTTTGCGTTTGACCTAGCCATACGCATAGCTTGGAAAACAGAATGGTTACGCTCTTCATCAGTGATGGCTCTTGCCTTCTCACGAGTGAATTTCTGAAAGAATATTTGTTAACATTAGTCTCAAAAAAAGTTGGAACAAATTTTGTAATTGCTGACATAACGCCCCTCCATATGCATGAAAAATGCAGATGTTTGCAACAGTTGAAAAAAGCAAATCAGCACATTCCTGGTAATTATCACAAATTATTGGAAACATGTATAGTCCCCAGGCCGGTCTTAACTTACTCCATCTGTGAACCACTATAGCAGGTCAGGTATACAGTCACACTGAATCCGCTCTATCATAGTGTTGCCACAGACGCGCGGTAAAAATATTGATGTTCTTGTGGCAAAAGACATACGTATGTAGATGGATTCTTGCAAAATTGGGGAAACTTGCTGAAATATGGGCAACAACATCAAGTTGTTACAACCATGTCATGCTGACAAAAACAATCTGAGATTTTCAACAAATTCAGCCCTGTGAAAATCACAAGCTTTATTTGAGACCAAGTACAATGGCCGACTGAGGCAACAATGCAAAACTCATCATCCAACAGTTGTTGCATTTCCATCCAATAACCATACTTAAATCTAGACTGAAATACAGATATGTCCCAATTTGAATTGATACATAGGCTAATTGTTTAGATGAGCCTCCTGCACCGAAAATTCACGAAAGGATTATAGAAACAAGAGCAGCAGCAATTACAGTCAATGGGGAAATATCATATAGCATGGTATTCAACCGGGTTCACAACATACCCAAGTGTATATCAAGTCAGATTCTGGGTATACAAAAAACAAGTGGTATACTAGGGTTTCAAGCTATGGTCGAATATACTCCACACTACAACCAGTTTTGTGTTTTGAAACAGATGCAGTTAACGATCGACATTGGAATTCATTAATTTGCAGTGTTTGTTTTTCCACAAATTTTGCAAGGTAACTTACATGAGTGAGTAGAAACCCATACTATGCGAAAAAATAATTAGCGGAGAGATATACAGAAAACGCTAAGTCAAAGATATTCGCAAATTTCTGAACATAAGCTATAGTCATAAAATCAACGCCAATTTCTATGTTTTTCGTATCTTGTGACCAGAGTAGGATTTCTGTAACAACTTTATTAAACAACTTTTTTCTACTATATATTATGAAATAACCTTTGTTTGTGGGGTATACAAAAAAAATAAAAAGTGAAAAAGGTATAACACATAGTAAAAGGTTGAAGAACACTGTTCTAAAGCCATTGCAACCTTGTAGATGCCGGCCATCAACCTGGTTGAAAAATTCTAGTCTGGTTACAAAAATTTTTGACACATAAAGTAAACTGACCTGTTTCATAGGAAGAACAGTTCCCTCATATTGTGAAGCCATCTTTATTTCTTCAGCCTGAAACAAAAAATGCTTTTTTAATGTTTGCTTCTGAATACAATCAAAACATTTGATGATTAGTTTCGATAAAATTTGCGGAAAGAGGCCTTGGCAGAGTTAGAACACAGCATACAAGTAAAATTTAAAAAGTAATATTGTTACAAAAAATGTAACCAATATTAAATACTCAAATGGAATCAGTTATCCCTCCGCAGCAATATCTAATGCTGAAATACACTTAAATCACAGGTAGAAACTGAAAATTTCTGACAATTTTTAATATCCCATTCAAAAGTACATGTCTGCTAGAAACTGGCACAGAGACTTACCGAACTGTCTCCCTTTTTGGGCTGGCTTGCCTTCTTGGGGAATAAGATCAATTTTGATTTGTATTCCTTCAATCTTTGAACATTTTCTTGCAACGACTCATATGATCGGTTACGCCTGCGATGGTCAACACAAATGCCAATGGTCTGAGCAAAATGTCTGTTGATTCCTGCAGCCTGAAATACGTATATAATTGAAACCGATATATCTGGAATGTTTGCTGCACACAAGCTTTCGTGATAAACGATATCTGGGTACATGAGCAAAAAGATGGCCTGTTTATGCACTAAATCTTAGCCTCTTGAACAGTCAAGATAATTTACGGCCGCTAATTGAAGAGATACTTCACAATACACCATAGTTATCAGCAGAGGTGCAGCCGAATTGTCTAAATGGGGTGATAGTTCCCATACCACAGCCCTGCATGACCATGTACGCCAATTTACAACATGCTCGCCAATTTACGAGACAGTCTGGGCCTCCATATCGCCCCAAACCGTCAATGCGCAATAAATCAAAAGAAAGGCAATCTGAAAACATCACCATTGGATAATTTCAAAGCTATATCAAAATTGGAATCGCTCTAAATACAGAAATATAATATATGTGTTTTGCACAAGTTCAGAATTCTGTAATTACACACTACTGCAAATGATGATTAAATAGACAAAACCAAACTAAGAAACAGATAAGTAAAATGTGACATAATCGAAAGTCTTTTTCAAAATTTTCGGCCGAAATAGGAAAGCATCGGAAAATATATTTAGGGCAGCAGCCAGTCTGGATTTCAAGGCCTTTCCATGAGAAATCGGACATGTAATCACAGATCCAAATCCAGAAATATCGGCGTGCAATCAGTGGCCGAGACACACCAAACAAAACTACAGGGGTGGTGACTCCTCTACGACCCATGGGCCGGGGCCACGGCCCATCTAATTGGGCCACATGGGCCATGGCCCATCAAGCTATGGGCCGCGGCCACGTCAGGAAAAATTCAATTATCTTACCAAAATTTTCAATTTTTACAAAACTGTCAATATTCGAACAAAAAAATTAACTCCTGTAGTATGTGTACCAGGTTAGGGTTAGGGCAAAATTTTGTTAAGATTTTTTACATTATAGTTCTATTATGAGTTTGAGGACTGTCTGTGTTAGCCAAGTGAATAGTTTCTTTACACAACTTGATGGGCCGTGGCCCCAGCCCATGGGCCGAAGAGGAGTCACCACTTCCACTCAAACAAAATACAGAAATATGACAAAAATATTATACTGGAACGCTATCTAAACGGAAATAGTCAAGTTGGCCCCATTGTGTCATGTGAGGCATCAAAATTTACTTCTGTGACGCAGTATGACATAGCCTCTGAAGCGAGCAAAAGATAATCGATGTTAAGTTGACGCAACTTGCATTCTCAATATTTTCACAGAAATTATAAATCAGAATTGTAGGTTTTACTCAGCTCCAATAAATTATATACATTGTTAACGCCATCTACCAAATAATGGTATTTTGACAAAGAAAGCTTCAGTAGAAGCGACGCTCTACGACATTGAATAGCAGGCTGCTATTTTTCTGTAAAATTTCCTTTTAAGGAAAAAAAATTACTAGACAACATTAGAACTTGCTATTCAGAAAATGTGAAAAATACCTTCAGCTCCTCCAAGGAAAATCCACGTCCTAATCGCTTCTTAGTGTTGTACTTGATTGTTGGGCATCTTACAACTGGTCTAAGTGGGCCTTTCACAGGTCTTGGAGCAATATGTTTTGCCTTTTCCAATCTCCTATTATAACGTCTCTTCTTCCTTGCTGGTTGATTAAACCAACATTTTACTCTGGTCTGCCACTTTTTGTGGAAGTGGTTATTTGCTATAATATTGTTGTGCTTGATCGCCATTTTTACTGAAATAGAAAAAATATGATAGTACGCCAATATGTATAAAGTATATGTAAAAACGCCATCGTGATAAAATTAACCAATCATTTTTCAGGTTACAAGTTTAAAAATGGTTTAAAGTCAGAAGTAACTTGCATAAAACAATCAAGCAGTCGCGGGATTAGAGAAGATAAGGGAGAGGAAGGACATACCATGTATAGCGACAGCAAAAAGGCAGATCGGCGCAACTTTACCAGTTCACAACAAATGTTGTCACGCATGAATAACGTCCAGTATTTGATGACGTTAGATGGAGCTACAGAGCATATCCAAAAGCCAAATCAGGGTTTTCGAAACGAAAAATTTATATTTTCTTATTCATTCCCGGGTGATGGCGGTTGATTAAACGGATTAATCTCAATAAGAACCACGACCCCGTGCCAAACCATGCTATTAAACATGGTGGCATATAAAAATAGTAGACAAGATGTTCATTCCGAATGCATTGATTTGAAGTTCAAGTTCATAAAACCGCGGAGCTGAACTGTTAATTTAATTATTTTGCCGCTGATGGAGTGATGGGCCAAATATGAATACGGTTTTCATATTTGTATTGAATAGTGGTAAATTTTAATATTTAATCACATAAAGAACCATAGAGTCTCTCCAGGTTGCCATTCGGCGAACGGTGTCACCCTGGAATCGACGTGTGCTCAAATATACATATTGTTAGACACCAAGTGGAACTACCGTGTTTCCTCAAAAATAAGACAGTGTATTATTTCAATTTTCTTTTGAAAAATAACACTAGGGCTTATTTTGGGAGGATGTCTTTTATTTTGATTTATCGAAAACAAAATTACAACTTATAAATAACACGTTTTTATTTGAAATAACTGCTAAACATAGATTATTGATCATTTAAAACGAGTAAGAAGAATTTTGCGCTATCGACTAGGTCCTATTTTAAGGGGAAGGCTTATATTGAAATCATTTTCAAAATTCAGGCCAGGTTTTATTTTCGGGCTAGGTCTTATTTTCGGGGAAACACGGTATGGATCGTTTCGTTATAGGATACGTCGTGGACCTATTGATCATTTTGTTATTATGCTGTTGTTGTTAAAAAATCGCATTATTTTTAACTAACTTAACTGGACAACAACAACAATCACATTGTCACTTGTCAGTCCAGATCAGATATAGGGTTACATGCTTCAACCGAGTGCCAGAAAAGTCCCTCCCCTAGTAATCTTGTTCGCATATGAGTGAATACCGCTTCACTAGAGATGAATACTTATCCCACATTGCATTTACATCCCAGGGTATTTTTTAGAAATATTTGTCAAAAGAGAGCTAATTCCGCAGACAAAAATTTCAACAACGCAGTGATAAAAAATAAATAAATCGAAAGTATTTGTCGATTTAATTATATTAGTGTATGTCTTCGTGGTCAACCATTTTAATTCTCCAAAACATGCAAATATTATGCTACATAAATAGCAATGTGGTCACATATTACTTTGACATAAAGAAACTAATTCGGGGCACTTACGTTGACATTTCATGGTCGGCAGATTTCAGACTGATATTGTACGGGATACTTCTTTCATGCGTACGTGTAGCCTATATCAGTGCTCTTCAACCTTTGTGTTATTGCAGAACCCCTGATATCATTTTTCGTTTTGTTTTTTATGGAACCCCAAACAACAAAAAAATTAAACACGAAATATTTGTAATTCAAATATTTCTACTTCAACAAACGAAACAGAAAGAATGTAACAAGCGTGAAATTCAATGACTAGGTTGTTCTTGCATTTCCTTTGCAATCTTCTTGAATCATGGCTCCACGACGCTCAAAGCAATTCTCATACTTATGTCTACACTCTTTAAAATCTTCTTTTTTGTTTTCAATAGTTGTTAAAGCAGAAAATGCTGATTTACACAAATAGGTATTGGGAAATTGACACAGAAGTTATAATTTCCTTTTTTGCAATGGCTGTACCCTCTTTGTGAAGAAAAATCCAAAAATATTACTTCCCATGTTTTTCGAAGGTTTCCTCCGAATTAATATCATTACGGATATCTAAGAGTCCTTCTTGCTGTTGCGCACTCAGAAATTCACCAAAAAACGGAAACAAAGAATGAATGATTTTTTGCAACTTTACGGGCCCAGCAATCGATTTTTCCTTTACGCGGAACCCCTATGGAACCCTATAAACTCACGGAACCCCACTGCATGTGTTGCGGAACCCTAGGGTTCTGCGGAACCCCTGTTGAAGAGCACTGGCCTATATGCAGGGTCGCGCGAAGTGATCGCTCTCATTTTCCCTACACAGAGGTAGTTAAAGACATTTCTAATTTTCCAACAAAGGCTCTGTGTAAGCAAAGGGTGCTTGGGGAAAATACTTGCGATGTGGGATTGCTAATTCAAATCATTACATCCTGGAGGTGAGCATTGGATTTGAACCTCAGATTTCTAAACTGCGATGCCAGCATAGTTAAGTACAATAGTTGACAACCAGGCAATCGCACCACATCTAGTGCTTTATACTGTTTATAGCCGTTCACCCACTGATCTGGAGATCGCCGCTCGATAACCAACATTGGTTATTTTTGCGTCTTCCTTCACCGTAATTTTCACGTTTTTTTACCTAGTTTTTGTTCGCATCAAGTGTTGTTTCATTTTGGTGAAAAATAAACTATTGACTGACTGATATAGCTCTGTGGTTTATCCTAGTATTTCACGCTGATAAGGATCTTTCGAGCTTTAACGAAACAAGAACGGTGGATAAAACGCGCGGTAGAGGTGCGTGTAAATCTGTGGCCAATGTATAATTTCAACTCTTCAAAATAGCACTTCATATTCGTCTAATCTTTGCAGCGATTTTCTATAGGCGTTATTTTTAGAACTTGGTTAGTCGTTCTGACTTTCAATGTTGCTTACAACCAATAATTGTGGATGCATAGTTTTATGCGAGCACATCTATGGAGAAGTAGGCTGCTTCTATACGTGGATATTAGGGGAATTGTAAAAAATAAATCTTATCTTGTAAAAAAGGAGGGTAATTTGAGAATGTTGAATGACATTGGTGTTATTTTAAAAATTGAGTAGTGGTAGGCCCGCAGGAAAATTTCACAGGGAAAAAATAAAATTGATGAAAGCAGTTTACCGGTATTTACAGAGTAGGCCATAAAATCCTACCATTTTTAACATTCAGAATGTAAAAAATTAGTAACAATAGTTTGGCCCACGCTGCATATATAATATATATAGTTTCTCGTCATTAGACCTTGTTTTATTGATTTCCATTTTGCTACCTCTATTCAGTCTATTCAATGATGTAGGTCTAATTTATAGTAATTTCCTAATTAAGCGTTCGCATCGGAAGTTCTCTGGGGCCGCATGCGGTCCGGGGGCCGCGAGTTTGACACCCCTGCAATAGAAAATCATGTCATACTTTTATAAAATGCCTATCGACTTCGAGCATCGACTTCCTTGTTCATTTCGTAACATTGGTCAATCAGCAAGATGCAAAAAGTGACGTAACAATAGACCCTTTCGCATCCGCTCAGTCTACTGAACTGGAAATATATCTGTGGCTCAGACAGATCCGCTCGCGTCCGTCACTCGGACAGATTTTCAGTCGTGGTTTCAAACAATATCTCGTTTTCGAAGTTTTGAGTGCTATTCGTTACGACCAAAAACTAAGTATGAATCAAATAAGTCAAAATCATCATTTTGGCTTCCTAGAAGGTGTGGTTTAATTGCAGTAAATAAAAATTGTCAAGATATAGATGTGATAAAAAGGGCTAAAATTCTCTACCGGTACGCAACGTTTTCTGCGAAGGATGCACTCGTGGCGCGTGCTTTCGGCGAAACTGTTGCTGTGTACGTTTCTCGTCTTAAAATGAACGTCGAAGGTGCATTTTGCGCTAACAGTACAAGTCACGTTAACTTTTGTACTGCTTTCTGATTCATGACAGCAATTGTTTTGCTAACAGCTAACCCCAGGATAGTAGTTGTCTAGAGTGGTTCTCAACCGCCGGTCCGCGGCAACCTTGCTGCCGGTCCGCCAAATATATTTCAATATTATGAGCAAATTGAAAAATACGAAGTGTTGAGGACATGCCTATTGATTTTGTGATTTTTTTCTCATTGATTCCGTAGTACCGTAAATATATACGGTAGTACCGGTATTCGTCTAACCACCAATTTTGGTGAAAAGTCTTCCGCCCAGTTCAATGCCTGAACGGCTGGATGTTCGTTAAGTCTATGACCTCATAACGGCGGCTAACGTCATGACGGAGGAGTTTGATCATCCTACCTGTTAAGTTGGTGGTGGGCAAATTACGGCCCGCGGGCCGGATCCGGCCCACCGAAGAGTTTAATCCGACCCCTTTGCGTCTGCTAAAATTACGACTATAGTTTTTATGGATATAAATATTCGTTGAAAATATCGATGATAATAACGTAATATTTACCTTGATTGTTACATTGTGCTTTTTATTATTATAAAAACTTTAACCTAACTTTTGTAAATAAACTGTTTTTATTCTAGTTTTTCATATCGAGTTCTGAGCCTCCGGCCCAGTAACCAAGTCTAATGTCTGTAACCGGCCCAATCAGAAAAGTAATTGCCCACCCCTGTTAAGTCATCAATGATAGCACATAATAAGGTACCTGATTGAGAAGTTCGCACGTTCCGTAATTTGACAGTAGGCCTATAATTTAGCGAGGTTTGATTGTAAAAGGGAGGCCAACAAACAGCAAAGTTAAATCCAGTTCTTTCAAAAACAAAAGAAAAAAAGTGGTGTTGACGGAGGAAGAGACTGCTACTTCAACTTTACAACATGCCTCGAAACGACCCTGCAGCAATGTTGATATAGATTACGCAGAAACGAGCAAAAACGAAAAGGAGAGTTTATTAGGCAGTATGATAAGAATATTTGGAGCTAGGTTTCATTAACGCTCCCAACAGCGGAACAGCTCCGCTTCCCGTGTGCCTAGTCTGCGCCCAAATTATTTCGAACGACGTGGAAGTCAACGCTTTACTTCTCCTTGCAGAAACTTCATTAAAACCGCGTTTAACACGTGTAATATGTATGTATGTTTATTCGTATCGTAATTGTGATACATTAATAAATGAACAATTATTATTAAATAACACAGGGTGCATGCACAAGACCTACTGGCCTAAAACACAAATGTGCGGCATGTAACTCTTTTGACAAATAAAAAACAAAAAACATTAGATCAAATATGTATAATATGGTCTCTTGAATGGACAGTTGGGCGATGGGTCGGTTGGTGTGGTGAAAGCGGTAAGGGAGGAGTATACAAAACTGTTTATACAGGGG